TCTCTCCCGCGCGCCTCAGGAGATGAAAGAAAATGTTTTTCTCCCTGAGTCTGGCCTTCATAATTCCATTCCAGACAGATTACTATATGTACAAAGATGGAAAGATTCTACTTTACCCACCATGGAGGTTGGTGAAATTGACAGAACTTGCTGAGATGGCCAAACTGTCTTCTTTGATTAGAAAAGGTCATTATTGACATTAATCAATGACAGGAAACCCTTACGGACTTTTTGCATAAGAAAGAAAATAATTTTGTGACTTATGGTTTTGATGATTAGAAAGGTTATAGAAAGAAGGGAATTATCATGTAATCTCGGAGAGAGAGAGGTTTGATTAGAATTGTATGTATAACTGCCGAGAGGAAGATAGGAAGGATTGGAAGATGATAGATAGATAGATAGATAGATAGATAGATAGATAGATAGATAGATAGATAGATATTCATGTTTTCTGTTCTGTTATTTTCTTCTCTTTCTTCTTTTTTCTTTGTCTCTTCTTTTCTTTTTCTTTTTTTTCACATTTACCATTTTTTTATTTGAATGTATTTCTTATTATATATAAATTCTACATATATGTAAAATCTTTAAATAAAAACTACTTAAAAAAATAGAACTACTGACTACCATCACCTTTGATCAGCAGGTTCACTCAGCCTTGCCTGACCTGGTAGGCTTGTCTGTGACATGGTTGACCATCTCTCTCTTTCTCAATTGCCATGCGTAGTCAACTCTCCATAATATTGCTGACTTCCACATCTACAGGATGACAACATCCATAGTCCCTAACTAGCAAAGCCATACAGAACTGCCTGATAAAGAACTTTCTATGTTGGACTATAATCCCCATCAGCCCCAGCCAGCAGGTAAGGATGCACACTCATCCATATCCCATAAATGAACGCATCTGTCAAACAGCTTTGAGTTTTAAGATGTTTTGGGGAATGATCCACCCAATTTTATCTACTTGCAGATTAAGCCAATGAGATCTAATGTTTGTCCACCTTATGCAAGGCGTTAAAAAGCTACAATTAAAAATAAAATGGGACTTACTTAAAACTGTGAGATGCACAGTCCCAGAACCAGTGCCGTAGAAGTCTGGAGGGTTGTTCACTTCGCAGATGTAAGCGCCAGCATCTGATGCACGGATGTTGTTCAACCGGATAGAAGCATCCCCCAGCCTGGGGGGGTATTGAACGAGGCTTAGCCGTTCGGCCTGCGCGCCTGGTTTGTAGAGCTTATTATTTGAAAAATAGAGAATCTGTAATAAGATGGGAGGATTACCTGGAGGAGAGAAGGAACCTGTACAGAGACTCAGTAATTGTGGAGAATCTCTGCATTCACTTAAAAAAAAAAATACTGTGCCAACATCCATCATCCTTTTTTCATAAAATGTCTTCCCCTGCTGAAGAGGATGAATGAGGATTTGTACCTTATCTGCAAAACGCTCTGGATTTTGCTTTTTTTTTTAATTGGATGATGTATAGGAAGAGACTCCATAACTGAAGGGCGGGAAAGAAGTGGGATTGTTGTCATTTTATTCCACATTTTTCCATCACTCTGAAGCCATCCTAGTTACTCATATTTCCCAATCTGAAAAATCCCCATGATTTGGGGGTGGGGGCAGGGTCAATTTTAGATTTATTTATTTATTTTTGGCAGGAGGCATGTAAAAGATGAAAATGGGAGTAATTCACTGGCAGTTTTTTACATTTTGCTTCTGAATTTCCATGGTGCCATTTTATTCCATTTTCCAGGAGACTGGGGAAGGGTTAAGGGTGGGAACAAGAGGGTTTCCACTCCCATTCCAGCCCTTATTCTCCCTCCTCCCTTTTTTAAAATCCCCGAATCCCACTGCTGAAATTCAATTATTTTCCCACCCAATTTTGGCAGCCCAATCTGGAGGTGCTTTGAGAGCTGCTAAGAACATGATGGGGCTGAAGATGGATGAGGGCTGTAAGCTGTCCACCATTTCTTCGGCATGTTCTCACCGTAGTTTGTCTGGAGAGGAGCTCATGATCTTCCAGAAATCTAGAACATTTGAACCAGTTAATCATTCTAGTGGTTGGGAATGAGGACCCAGATAACTCAGACTTTTGCTTCTCTGTTTAGGATCTTTTGCACCACTCTCCCATCCCCAATTATTTGGAAGGTCATGAAGAGGCTTGTTGGTTTCATGCTTCAGCAAGCAATCTTCAATACTAATTTTAGACATCATTCAAGTTAAATGCTGTTGATTTACTTCCCTTCCCCTTTTCCTCCTAATCCTCAGTGCCAGTACTTGAACATGCGTCCCTGTATACTTTCTTCACCCTCTGCTTCCTCTGCAAATTGCACGCTCCTGCCCTGCTCTCTTTCACCTGTGTTCCAGTATCAGGAGACGTTGAACCAGCAGCAAACCTCCATTCCAAAACAAAGGCATTGTCAACAGATGTTTTATAGCGGCAGGGGATTTCCACATTTAAACCTCTCTGCTGCATCACGGGATCATGTGGTACAGTCACCTCCACACACATACCACAGCCTATGAGGGGAATGGAAAAGAAATGTTTGTCCAGTTTGGGGCTTGAATTGGTGCCTCTTTCCTTCTTTGAGGATTCATAGGGCCGGTTTCAAGACATGGCTCAGCATGGTTTCCAGTTGGTTTGATCCTGTTACCTGTATTAGTCTGCAGTTTCCCTTCTGAACATTTCTACCACATTTAATGGCACAGCTCTTATTCTAAGTGATGCTAACAAACAACCACAAGGTTGTTGAAAGGGTGCTGATTCATTTTGATTCCATCCCTTTGGAAAATCAGATGGACCCAGTTCAACATTTTACTCCAATCTGAATTTTTAAATGTTTGGAGAAAACCAACCAACCAGGATTTGCACATACACAAGAAGCCATCCAAATCATCAAATACATTTCAAGACATCCAATTTGATTCAACACTGTGGTTCTTCTGTCTGATTCAGGCCAAAGATTTGACTGAATGTGTTTCAAAATCAGTTCTGAACTGAAACTTTGCCCAGCCCTATTAGAGTATCCACCATCCTAATCGTCTCAGTAGCTTACATATTATTCAAGGCTTTACAAATGAAAATTAGGGATTTCTGTTTCCAGAGCAGGATTTCAGGCTCAAAAGCCACACTACCTCCTTGCAAATATACATACACTACAATATGTGCTTCCTATTAAAGTTACTGTAAGCTTATCCTATTAAACTTTGGGATTATTTCATTTTGCCAGTAGATCTAGTGGCAGTTATTATGGCTAAATTGCAATTTAAAACAACTATTACAGATGGCCCTTGGTTCCTCAGCAGAGTTTGTTCTATCCTTGCAGAATAACTCATGTTTGACCCTCAACATCTCCAGGAAGAGTTGAGGAAACTTCTTGAAACTGTGGACAACTTCCTGCTTGGAACTCTGGAAACTGGGTGAAGTATATAGGCTAGATGGTCCAAGAGTCTGACTCACCGTGAGTCTCCTTCTTTGTTCCTATGCCCCCCATTTAGGCATCCCACCCCATTTTCAGAGATTCCAAATATCACAATGTATATATACTTAGAAGTGCCACTGTGCTCAGTGCAGAATGTGTTCAGATAAATGTGCATAGAAGAACAGTGCAATCTTATATATGTCTACATAGAAGTATGATTCCAGTGGGGCTTATTCCCGGATGATTGCAGATAAGATTGTAGCATTGGGGATTTAGAGAGGAGCTGATACATCAAAATACAAGTTCTATCAAAAGCTTCTCCAGAAAGGAAGAGCATTAGTTTATCCAGAAGAAAGCCTCAGTAAGACGTAGGGAAATGATTAGAACTTGTCCCCTTACCACACTAAACATTTTGCAGTTTGGAGAATGTGGGCCTCCTTCTGCAGATCAGCCCTTCCTGACTTTGCAAATTATTCATCTGCAGACGCTATTAATATCAACCAAAAAAATAATGTTTGGTGTACCCCAAATGCTTAGCTATTTCATTGCAATGTTTGATTCACTTCATAAAGCGGCAATAGGGGTTTTATCACCAGATGAAAAAGGTAAACGTAAGGCTACCTTTGTTTGCAAAAGTGAAGAAAACCCCACTCAGCCCCTGCTACTGGACAAGGGTTGCGGAGCAGCACTTGAAGATTGAACCATTGACCTTCACAAGGGGACTACTGGGCCAAGAGCAAGTCGTGGGCTACCAGATCTCGGATGCAAAACACTGGATAATCAGGATTCAAGTTTTCTGTGTTTCTTTGCTGCCACCTTGTAAACATCTGGATTTCTGCAGCTCAGATCTGGTCCCCCCAATGGGCAAAGAAGGCGCCACTGCACTAATACGCTCCTCTTCCCTTCCCATCCCTTGTCCTTTTGTCATGTCCATGAGACTCTGGGCAAGAAATGGTCTTATTTTTCATATTTAATTGCACATCAAAATGAGGCACTTTACGATAATAAAAATACATTTAAGGCCTACTTACAATGAAACTGAAAGATAAACCTAAGGTACTTACTAAAGGACAACATGACGATCAGGAAGCAGGAGAGCCGATGATTCCAAAATACCATGTTGGGGGCCATTTCTCAGGAAAAAGACAGGCCGTGACTTTCACTGGGAGAGTTGAAACTTAACTGAAATTGGGTAAGGCTGTTCTTTATCTTGTAGGAAAGTAAGAGCAAACAGTCATGGCGAGGTTTTGAATCATGCTACAGCACAAAGCTTCCTCTGATACGGAAGGATAAACCTGTTGCGCCTTCTCGTTCCTCGCCCTCACTGCTGCTCAAGATAGCTTCTCGCAACCAGAAGAAGTCCTCCTGTGCCTTCTTTATTTGGTATCGATATTTCAGAAGCCAGGTACAAACGACGTTTTTCCTGTGGCTTCTCCAATGTTGGATTATAAGGAACGTGGTTGCTGCATCTTTCTGCATTTTGATTTGCATGGTGTTTGCACTTGTGGGTTTCAATTGATTATGGTCATGTTGCTTTATTTATTTATTAATTAAGAAGTGGAGCCTTTCATTTAAAAAAAAAAAAGTTTAGATGATAAGTCTTGTGCAAACCCGATGGGTGTCCATGCAAGGCAAGAGAGAGAGGAAAGTGCATTTTAGCTAGTCATGATGTGATTTTTTTTTCTGTGAGATTTTGGGCGCTGTTCCCTAAATTCCACGTCGCTGCACTCTGAAAGCACATTCAGAACATCTCTCATGAAAGTGAATCCTTTCCAGGCCAAGGCATAGCTCTGATTGGCTGGTGACTATAGCATCAAAAACTCCTCTCCTAATCACTTTAGCGTTAAACATTATTTTTATTTCTTAGTTTAGTTTAGAAATGGCAACAAATTAATTCTTGACGGCTTAACTCAGTTGGTGAATGCTCCAGAGGCTGCAATTCTGGCTGCTGTTACACATTTTGCATAGGGTCCTCTACTGCACTCTGTCTCAAGCTGCTTTTGCAACACATCCAGAAGCTATAGCTGGTACATCATACCACAACTAGTTTGCTGATAAGTTCTCCTTCCTCAGGCATGTGACTCCTGTTATTTGATTTCCACTCTTTCCAAGTTCAATTGAAAATGCTGGCTCTCATCTTCATGCCCTCCAAAACTGTTTTGGATCTTGTTATTGAGAAGGCTACAGGGCTCTTGATTGTTTTTCAGATGCTTTCGGGAAGCGTTTCTGCTGAAAGTCCCCAAATCTGATTGATGTGAACACAAGACCAAGACAGTTTCGTTGCAGATCCCGACTGTGAAATTCTCTTACCTGGGAAGGACCATTCTGCATTCACCTTATGTCAAGATTGGTCAGTTCTAGATTGGATAGCTAATTTCACTGTTATTGATTAGACAGCCTGCTAGGGGGAGACAATGGATTTCGGCAGCTGAATCAGTGTCTGTCTCTGTCTGTCTGTCTATCTATCTATCTACCCACCTACCTACCTACCTGCCAATCTGCCTATCTGCCTGCTTTATGTGTGTGTGTGCTCATGCTGGTGAACTTTAAGCAAAAGATAGCAGCTCTGCTCTGGATTAGGATAATAGCACAGATAAAAAAGATGTTAAACAAGAATAGAAACATCAGTTATTAATACATACACTGGAGGCAATTTTCATGTGGTTTGTCATCTGGGAAGAAAGACTCAGCTCCTTCACCTGAGAAGCAGAACCAGTTGAGGCCCCTCAACCATGATTGCTCTTTCGAAATAGGCAACAGCACATGTATGCATATAACATGACAGCAAGTATGCGACCAGGACTCAGGAGACCCAGGTTCAAATCCCCATTTACCTTAACCCAGATCCTAATCTACCCTACCTCACTGAA